AAATGTCTGATTTAAAATATGTTTAAAACAATAAAGTTTGTACATTTTTGCTTGAACTGTTAATCCATTATTTTCCAAATGTTTGTTAAAGCTCCTCCTCAAAGAACCAGAAGTTCAAATTTATAAACATTTCGCTACATGATTATAGGCAGATTATATAATAATTCACAAAAGCTTTAATAGTTCATGGATAAACAGCTGAAAAAGCAAACAGAGAGATGTAAACGTACAGACATGAAAATGAAAGCCTATATTAATCTTTTTAGGAGCACAGAGTTCTGTAAAGAGATCCGTAGACTCCATGCTGATAAATGATAGAAGCGCCTTTAGCAGCAGTAACAGAAGAATTCATTTTCTGTATGATTTTATTTTTCTCTCACATTGTTGGAGGAATTCTGGCCTGCTCTACTTTGCATCCCTGCTTCAGTTCATTGAGGTTTATATCTCTCTGGTGCTTTCACAGCATTTCAAACAGTTTTAGGTCTGAACTTTTGATTGAACCGCTGCTGTGCCTTCTTTCTTTTCTATTTTAGCTTTTTTTATATATTTTTTTATATAGAGGAGTTTATGGTTGACCCAGTGCTGGAACTTCAGCACAAACACCTCAAACTCTGTCTTCTCCTTTTTGGTCTCTTTGGTCTGGTGGCCATTGTTTCAGAAGTTTTGTGGTTTGCTCAGATGTGGTTTTGCAAACCTAAGATGTGCTGCGATGTTCTTTTTAGAAAGAAAATATTTTTCTCCTGGCAATCCTTCCAAACAAGCCACACTTCTTTTTCTAATTATTCTGACACAAACTTTGACATTTCATATGCTAACCGATGCCTGTGGAGCCTGAGGTGTAGATCTTTGCAGACAGTTTGCTGCGACACCCACTCCTGGGAGGAATGCTGGTCTGAAGCTATCAAAACGTCTACTTATGCAGAGGATGGTGCAAGCAGATGCAAGTAATCAATTAAGTGCATCTGATTAGCAGCACCTGGCTGCTGCACAACCTCTTAATTTCTATAGAACCAGTAATGGTGCACATAGTTTTCACAGGACTGCATTTGATCACATTTGAACTTTCAACGCAGTTTGATGGAGGAGTCAATAAAAGGTCTATTATTATTTTATATTTTAGTATTTTATTACAGCTGATGTAGTCCAACATTAGTGACTTAAAGTAACTACAAGTAAAGAAAACCAGAGCAGTAATGTGAATGCTCTTTGCTTACGTGTTCATGCAGCTTCAAAGAAAGAAATGAAATATCTGTCGTGGGGAAAAAACCCTTTCATCTACTTTTCTTAACAATGTGACACACTCCTTTGCAAGGACAGAACAAAAGCCTGAACAAAAACACAAAACAAATCTGTTCTGTTTCAGATGAAACAACATAATTTTATTCCAAGAGTCTTTTTTGCTGCTTTTGATGTGATGAATTACACAACTGCCATCAAAACAACAATAAACTGCAGATATAAAATTGACTTCTGTTAATCACTCACTTAACTCTGCTCGAAAGGTTTGGAAACTCCCCCAAACAGCAAACTTAAACTATATTAATGAGTCTCTTCTCTGAAGCATGTTGGAAAACATTAAGCGTTGTTTGGTGTCATATTGTAGTTGCAATGAAGCCATAAACGTAAATCAGAACTGATGCTTTAGTCACATTTTGTCCTCCTTCATAACTGCATTATGTGTAATGTAATCTTTTAGTGCTTACCCCATCCGATGAGTATCAAACCCCAGAGGTATTTGGAATCTGATCGGAAGGCCATGAAGATGAGACTGTGGAGGTAAAGGCCTTCTACCAGAATCCAGTAGTAATTGGTAGCCAGAAAGTAGATGAAGAGCAGCACAGTCACCTTGCAGCCAATCTGAAAGCATTAACAGTTTTATCAGATCCTATTTGAAACTAGCATTATGCAGCTTATTATGCAGTTATTTTGCATGTCTGTGTGTTGACACACGCGATGATCACAGTACTTCAAAGTATTCAAACACCACAGGTGATCATAAGAGAGGAAATGATCTCATTACAATCAGAAGCAGCTTGCTGTATAAATTTGCACAAATATGGGTAAATATGTTATTAACTAGAACATAAACAGAGTAAAGCAGCAATAAGCTTCTGCTAACTATGTCATTCTTTGTGTATGATTTCAAAATTAGTGACATGTACAGGCTATGCCCACTAAAGTTTATACTGTAAAGGTTTTCAGACATAAACTGGATTGTTTTCTTTGTCATTTTTCATCTGTCTGCTAAACTCACTACTCAGTTGTTTCAATAGAACTGACACTATATAGATTAAAGTAGTGGGACTGAAAGCACCTGGATTTAAAGATTAAGAAATGTGGCCACAAACCTTTTATTACAGGACTATTTAAATACTAAAAATTTAACTTACAAGGTTTTTCAAGTTAACGAAAGTGTGGGGAAAAATAGATTAATGACATCTCAAAAAAAGAGACAAAAATAACCAAAATAACTCGTATTATTGTATTCTAGACACCCAGTTTAACTCTGAGTATTAAAACATTTTTAAACTGCGGGAAGTGTGCAAACCCAGTCCTAAAACTGTAAAAAATAGTTTCCTTAAAAACAAATCTTTAAAATTAAAAATTAATGCAAAACATATAATAACTCCGGTAATTTGTGCACAACAAATTAAATCTCCAAAAGTTGATTCTGTTCATCTGGATGTTTTCAGTGGGAGAAACGTTTCGTCACTCATCCAGGTGACGTCTTCAGTCTCAGCTGACTGCAGGTTTCAATCTTATAAACAGTACATTTGCATAATGACTGAAACCAGCCCACTGAAGGAACAATGGGCTGGGAGGTCAGTTCTTTCATCATTAATATGCAAATTCTCCTGACCATTGATCAACAACTACTGATCAATGGCCATGAGTACCAATCACATTAGACTTTCATACTCAGTCCTGCTACAGTCCAACCTGTGCATTGCCTCGGGGACCAAACAACTCCTAAGTGTGCCACATATATGATTTGTTTACCTCCACTGTGTGGAGAATAGTTTGACACTAGAAGTCTGCTCTCACATTCAGTGGGGAAACCTTCTCACAGGGAAGAGTCACACACTGAATTAATGTTTAAAGGAAAAAGCAGGAAAGGACTGCATTGCAGGAGAAGTCTCACTTAAAACGTTACTGCCTCTTATTTTCAGTCTGGGATGTGAAAATAGGACATTTTCTGTGGAAGTGTTCTGCCAAAGGTGAGAATGTGTTTCCACCCATTTCCATATATATACACAATCTCGCAGAACTCATGCAAGTAGATGCTTCATTATACATCGCAGGCAGTATGTGATGGTATAGGTTGTGGCTCTGACTGTCTCAGACTCAAAGGCTGAGTCCTTCAAGTATTCAAGGTATGATCTCAGTTTCCTGGAGCAAATATGCTCCAGCTACAGGTAAGTGGACTCCAAACTAAAGGTTTCACCTTGAAACATGTTGCTCATCAATGAACATTTGTTGTATTTCCTTCTGGAACTTTCCGTTTTCTTACCAGAGCACCTTATTTAATCATTTAAATTAACAAGCTTGTGAGGGTGGAATTGCTCCTCTGAATAATATGATTACATTTAAATAACTAAATCAGCTGGTACAGTAAGTGCAAACCGAATAATTAATACTAACAATGCTGCTTACAAGACTCTAAGCTTTATTTTAAACAGGATAAACAAGCTCTGCTCTTGTTTGCTACAGCAAGAAAAATGAAATTTAAATACCAAATACAAGGGGTCTGAAACTGGGATAATAATGTAGTCTAAAACTGGTGACTTACACAAATTAAATACACACAAATGGAAGAAAACCCAGAATAAACAAACAAATCTAAAGTGAATTTCTCGTTGCTTACGTGTTCATGTGGCTTCAAAGAAAGGAAGAAAAAAAATTGGGACAAAAGCCTTTCATCTTTTCACTTTAACAATGTCTCATCCTTCTTTTCAAGGACAGAGAAAAACCTGTAACACAGCCAGCGGTTCTGTTTCATGTCATCATGTTATTATCGGTACACATGAACACCCAAGTCACCTGTTATTAACATCATAATTAGGACTAATAGAGCTGTTTACAACATTCAAATTAACCTACGAGGGATCAAGCAAAAAAAATAAATGGATAAATAAATAGAATTGTTAATCCATCCTCTGAATGTCACACAGGTTAAATGCATCTGCAGTACCGTCAAACCATTAGACGTTTTGGCGTCACTGTCTACGTCAAGCTGCTCGGGGTTATAACTGGATCAGACTCCATTTTATTAGACATTTCTCTGTGTTTTTGTTTCGTAGAAAACTCTCTAAAAACATCCCACCGTTGTGTTCACTGTGTACTGTTCCGCTTCTTCATATTCAGATCCACATATCCTGCGACATTCAGTTCATGCTTATTTTGTGGGGATTTTTCATTTTGTTGTTATGGTGTCCACCTGTGCTCTGTGGTGCTCTTTGTCGTGTTTTATTTTGAAAGTGTCTTGTTCTGCTTCCTTTGTCTGGTTGGTTCAGTCTCAAACATCAACCCAGTGATAAAAAAACACAAAACCCTCGCTGACTTCAGTGACGTCACCTGATTGGTCAGCAGCAGAGCTTTGACGTCAACACGTTTAAAGACTTCCTGTCTCATGTTAAGGACCTCACTTTGAATCGTGGGACTTTTGCTCAATGTTTTGGGTTTTTTGGTCTCGAGTTCTGTTTGTTTCTTTGTTTCATCTTTGTGTTTTCCTTCTTAGTTTGTTCTTATTTTATTCTCAGTGGTGATTCGGTCTATAATTTGTAACTGTAGTGAGTAAGCTGTTTTTTTTTGTTTTGTTTTTTTAGCTCAATCTTGTCTGGGGTCTAAATCCTGGCTGCTGCACAGCCGTGACATTGACATTGTCAAATAACATGTTACTCGTTTTTTAATTCTTCTGATTTTATTTAAAGTTTGGGGTGGTTGCTTTCCCCAAAGATTTTCTGTTCTTAACTTTTTTTTCCTGTACTGGATTTCTTCTGAGGCAACCCATGTTTAATGTCCCAGCACTGTGTTGTGTGAGTAATTCCCTCAGGCCACTCTGCAGACGTTTGGACTTGGAGAAAGTTTGCATGGAGGCTCAAAATATCCACCAAAGGGTCCTCGCGCACTGGACAAATTGACAGTGGGACACCCCTAAGCCCTCACAGACTTAGCTGGATGATGATTCAAGTGTGTGAGGGTGGACAATGAGATTAGGTCATTTTCTTTGTGATTTCATGATTGTTTCCGCCTGATCTTCAGCCAATAAGCCCTGTGTGCATATTTATTCATGTGTCGCCGTCTGTTTTTGTTAGCTTGTTTGTTTACGAGCACCTCAGCAGTTTTCACTGCTTTCCTTCCTTTGGCACACTTTCTGATGTTTGAGTTTCTCATTTCTCTTGGATTCATTTTACCCTAGTGTGCTAATTCAATCAATACTGTTTTTTTTATTTGCATCTGAAAAATCAGGCTCAATTCAAAAAATAAATGCTGCAAATTCATCCTGTGAAATTATATGCATATAATATATATTATATATATAATATATGCATTAAGATCTGAAATATATTAATGTCCAGTGAGTAAAATCTATTATTCTTAGAAATACACAGAAACAAAATCTGGCTTTGTTGTGTAATGACACCTGATGAGCCTGATTAAAGTCACTCTTTGGATCTTATTTAATGTGCATGGTACTTACATACTGCGACTTGTCCAGTGATGATATGCTAACAGTTTTTAAGCTGTCGAGCAGAGCAGAGTCCAAGTCCTGCAATCCCACCCTGGAATACACAACTTTGTCCTTCATGAAGATGCTGACTGCTCGTAGCATGAAGGAAACAAAGAGGTGCATGTGGATGTAGTTTCTGGTGCAGTGAAGACGCCTGCCACACAAGCAAAGACAAAGTTATAAAAACTGCAAAGCATTTCTCATAAATGATGAAATGGGTCCAAGGCTACCCTTGTGGAACTGTTGAGTAGAAATGCAAAAAAGTATAAAAACATGATCTCATGATCACAAACACCAGTAAAGCCGGAGAGTTTAAACGATCTTCTTCCCTCCTGTGTCATCTCTGTAACGTCAGCTATAGGGGTTGAATGTGTATATGTGTGTTCCATTTAACAGAAAATAATCCACCAGTTTTATGCAACATTCAGCCTCAACAGGAAGAGGAGCTGGTGAATAGTAGATAAACAGAGCTGACAGAGGGGACGAATCCTCAGTGATCCTGTCTATTTCTGTCAGGAGTGAAACTGTCGATGCAGCACATGCCTGCCCTGTAAATCATGGACGTACAGAGCACCGTGACAAACAGGTGTACTGAGTTCTTCCACCGTATGGCCGGTAAAGAAAATGTCAAGGATTTTCAAACTGTCTCATTGTAAGCACGGGTCTCTGGCTATAAAATTGTGCAAGGATAAGAGTACGCCTCTGTTAAAGCCAGCGCAGCACTTCTATATCTCTGTTCTGTTTTGCTGCAGTAAACACAGAGAGCATTAAGAACTGCAAACAAATATTCACTATTTAAGTATTAGTGTTGCTGGTATTAAGACACTTTTTGATGAACATTGTCCTGTTTTACCCAAATATGAAAACACAACAGCCATACAAACATTATTTATTTATGTATTTATTTATTTATTTTAATGAAAGTGTAAATGACAATTTATTATATAACCATGTTTAACCCTTACATCAGTTAAACACTGTCCTCACTCCTATATACTACCATCTATAAATGGCAATATTATTTTATCATCATCACTCAGACCACAAAACGTTAAAAATAATGACTGCAGACTCGTCTCTGCATTCAAAGCGGTGCTGGAAACCTTCCAAGTGTGTTTTTTACTGCTGTCAAACATCAAAACTGACCTGAACAGCATGTAAAGGCCATGACTTGAAGTTTCTGATACTTCAAAACAATTAATCCCCGTGTGTTTTTGTTTTTTCCTACTCTGGAAAACACTGCACTGCTCAGCACTGCTGACTGTGGCTTGCATAGGGTTAATGTACTGCAGCTCTTTAAAGGGCGCTTTACATTTTCTAACACACATTGTTTACATTATCTCTAGAGACAAAAACTGAGGCAGACAGCAGCGGGAGCTTTGAGGGCTGATAAAGAATCAGAATCAGAGATTCATGCGGACTTCATGCGGATACCCTCTCGGCGCCAGCTGCAAGGCCGGAGCTGAACAAAACACCCTGATAACGACTGTGTTGAGTCTGTTCCTTCCCATTCCCTACAAGGCCACCTGGGTTGGCTGGAAGACTGTTTACTTAGCCTGGCAGTGCGAAGGACACTGTGTCAGCTGAACTATGGACACGCACACACATACATATACTGATACTGATAAGCACTCACTGACGCATCACCCTCCCTACCCCGGATCCAACACCACCTCCAACGCTTACCTCCCCTCTGATGTGGACATTGGGTCAGTTGGAGGCGCAGTCGAAGATTGCAGCAGTCCCAGATCAGATGTACACACTGGAACTCTTTCCCATGTTGCTGTCTGTGTTTATTGTGCTATGGTGTGTTGATATCTGTGCATTCCTGTATTATCCTTTTGTGTTACACATTTCAATGTTTTTTTCCTCGCTACCTAGCCTGACCTGTCTCCCCAATGTGATGTTTGTGTATTGTATGTAGGGTCAGCAAGGTCTGTTATCTCGGTTGTGGGCAAAAGACCTGCAACTGACAAATAAAGGCTATCTCATCATCTCTCATCATTTGTCGGCACTTTAAGAAGTCAGAAATACTGGATTTAAGGCCTGTATTTGTCAAACGGAGCCTTGATGGCTCTTTGAAATTTCAGCTGCAAATGATCTAGAAAATGTGCTCTGTTTGAAGTTTCCCTTTTTAAACATGCATCTCTGATCACGTCGGGCACTTTTGAAGAGTAAGAGGATGTTGACTCAACTTTCAGCTCTCATCTCTCGCAATCAAATCCAGCAACCCAGTCAAAACATGGTGGTATTAAAATCAGGAGGAAGTTTACCTACACACAGGATACCCATCAGTTGTGGCACAGAGCTCATTGTTCTGGATTATTTTTATGCAGAAGGCAGGAGAGATGCTTCTAAATGGGAACGTGTAACACTGGTGTTGCATAAATGACCAGTTCTTACACTCAGGTTTTAAATCTTAACAAATGCCGTCTTCAGTTAAGTGGGTTTTTGTGTGATATACAATTTCAGGTGGGCAGAGATTTCAAAAAGGTTTTTGAAGTGTTGATGGGATTATTACACCTACCGTAACACGTCATAATAAATCTGGAGAGCCCTGCCAGTGGAACTGCAAAATTAAAGGCAGTTTGAAATGATCGCCTCCGGTTTACTTGCATCTCTCTGAAACGAGGCTTTCATCTTCATCAAAGCTTTTATTTTCATAATTTAAAATATTTCTTTACACTTGTTTGAATCCTCTTATGTAAGGAAGCAAGTGGTTACAGTAAGTCACATAATTTGCAGAGACTTAAAAAATGTGGTTGGCCGCTCCGTCTCCAGTTACCGGATCATTAGAGGTACCTTCCTGTTGCTTGGATATAACCTGTCTTTAAAAATACTAAAAATAACGGAGCCCATGATTCTGCAGTTGTCTTTTCAAGGATACTTAAAATAATATCATTCAGAAGCTGTTATTTGTTAGAACTAATCAATTTAAATCGAACCAGTTAAAAAATTAATTTACCCTAATCAGTGATGGACATTGATAACTTTGATGGCCATTGTGATTTTGAAGATCAGATTCTGTATCCATTCCTTTACTGGTTTCCACAGATGTTCAGCAAACCACTTTTATTCCCCGAGTGCTGAAGCACAGCAGGAAAAAGTCCTTCATGTGGTCCAGGTGAGGAAAAGCTTCACTGGCACCACTTTCAACATTTCAACATTAATAGTGTGAATGCCGTGACTGAGATCCTGTTTTTTCTGTAAACTCTGTTTCTTTGCCGCTTAACTACTCCCTCAGTTTTCATCCGATTTTCACCATTCAAATTTTAAGCTCTTCTGCTCATTCTGCTAATGCCAGCTATATCTTTTGGTGCTGATAACTTTTATACTTTTTGAAATATTAAGCTTTCTATGTCATTTTTTGGCTCATTTTAATGAACGGGACCACATTATCAGTGTGATCACCAGGTTAGCTTGCCGGGCTGAGCCGTGTTTTATCTCAGTGAGATGGGCAGCCGTTTTCAGAGCAGGAGGGTTCGAATCCCACTTATGGCAACATTTTTTTCAGTAAACACTTTAACACTTTTCAGCA